TTTTTTCTCGCGCGCGTGACCGATATTCGTCGCGATAGAAAACCTTTTACAACGCGCTGTAAATACATCGCGAAGAAATAAAATATATATTTGACAATTAAACTCGGTTTGTTTGTTATGGAAAATATGATTGCGAGATTATCAGTGAATTCGCAAAAATGATCCGATCAGTAAATTAACCAATTCCCCGATAAAAAACAATATATCATATGTATGTATAAAGAAAATTATCTCATTGACCTATCTTTGATGTATCTTTGTTCAAAATACCAAATCTACATAGTAAAGCTTTATTTTTTTAAATAAATTTAAATTTTAGAGTAAATTCCGTGATACACACTCGACATTCAGTAATAATATAACGCTCTAGGATACATACACACATATAATATATATGATATTAGCAAAAATATTTGTAAGTGTAGTCTTTATCGCTATCAGATCACCTATCCTTATTTTAAAATATACACCTTAATCACTGATAAGTAACTGAAAAGTAAGTCAATAACGATGAATTCCTGATAATCACTTTAACCAACAGGTGACAGCAAGCATTTTATCTCGATTAACATACTTTATCGAAAAAAATCTCCATTGAAATACTCAAATCCTGAGAATATCGCTTACTAGATTACGCTTCTTATATAGAAGCTCGAAAACAGCTGTTTTTTAAATTTCTCAAGGGAAAATTTAATCGCGTTTCCCTTTCTGCATTCAATTGATTGACTTAAATAAAGTAATTGAACGGCTATGTTAAATTTATATTTATAACTCTATCGGAAACAATTATAATAATTTTCGTGTTCAGGCTTTAATGTTCACAAAATTCAAAAAAATGAAATACCATGCATCCTGTTAAAGTAGAAACTTTTTTAATGAGATTTTTGAATGGCCAACAACTAAGTTAAAAAAACAACTAAAAGAAATATTTTAATAGTCAGTATTTTAACAACAGCGATCTTGAAAATGTTTGGTGTAAATTATCTATTATTTAACACAATTTAAGATCAATAAAATATCTGTAATAACGTATTACAAAATTTTTTATATTTTTGAATATAGAAAGGGTATGCATGTAAATTTGAAATATATATTGTAAATTTTTCATTTAATAGACAAGTGACATTTGAGGAATCAGGAATGTTTCAAAAATATTATTGAATAACATGTTTAAATTTAAAAAAAAATTAATTTTGTAAGTTTTTTCACTGGAACTAAAGTGAAACAATTTTTTTAATAATGAAAAATTTGATAAACATGACTCTCTTTCATGATTTTCTTTCTGCTTATCGATTTATTTTTATTGGATTTATTTTTTCGTAAAATATTTACAAAGCTTGAAATACATAATCAAGATTATACAAAAATTTCCTACGTATTTTAAAATTCGTGTTTGAAAGTATCTGCGTAACCTAATACTTCCGACCAAGGCGGAGTAAAAAAAGGAATGTGGTGAAGCTTATCACCAGAAGCCGCGCACAAGTATCGTTTCGAGAGTGCAGGTGCATTCCTTTATTTCTTGATTTCTATATCGAAAAACCGTCAGTTAGTGTGTCAGTTAGTGTGTTACTACTCAATAGGAGATAGAAATCTCTTCGATCAGTAGATTCCAGAAACGGAAAGTGCGTAATTTAAACCACCAGAAACTTCCTAGTGCCAAGAAAAGATCAACACAATGAAGGAACAATGTCATAATGCCGAGCAGTTCGTAGAACAAGAGAATAAATCAACATACTTGAGAAAGAATGTTAAGTCAGTGATTATCTATAAATTCTAAATTAAAGATATAATCATATTTTTTCATCTGTCAGATTCTTCTAAGTTGTAACTATGTTTCTTTCAAATTTTCCGCAAATGTTGAATATTGCTATACTTAGGATAATAAATAGATAAGATGACAGTGTGTTTCTCCTAAACAATTTCTGTATACAAACATGAATTTAATTAAAAAAGAAGCCGTGTTCTATCAAGAGAAAGCATGTTAAGGATATTGAAACATGTCAAGATTATGAAGATCATCGATAAGTGATAATACTAAAAATGATTAAAATGCTAACATTTTATATATAATATATACAATAAAATCTTAAAAATCCTTATTTTTTAATAAATTATATGATTGATATAAATCACAGATATAATGCATTCATACTTATATTTTATATACGCTTTATGTATCTAAAAAATTATGTCGCGTAATATTTCCCTGCCAAGCCTCATATACACATGTATTGTTGAGTAATTAAATTTAATTAATAAGAGAAAAATAACGAAAGAGCGATTTGTTCACTTCGTTAACTGTACATTTAGTCCGAGAAGAACTCCCAGCTGTCAATTAAGCGTATTATAGCTAATCGGATAAAAAAATCAATTACAAGCGCTGTAAGAAAATAATCACGCGATTAAATAAAAGTTCCGGATGGCCTTGATCGGCCTTACGCTTATTAATACGTGGCCAATTTCTGGTTTGACAAGTCTGACTACTGTCGAAACGAAATACATTGCAACCACGAAAATGCAGCCCGCAAAATGTAAATTTTTGTGACAGAATTGCTAAAAGAACGAAATTAGGAGATCACGACTTCTTTTTTCTTCGTCGACTTCGTCGATAAAAATTGTAAATTGCAATTTAAATGAGCTAAAGAAAAATGGAAGCTTAATAATTTCGTTTCATGCACAAATTAAATAAAGCAGGGTGACAGTAATTCCGTTCTTTACAACACAAAACGCACTAATCCTAGTGGATTGGCCATATGGATTTGTGGAGTCTCGAATGGAGAACATACAGCTGTGTCTGCAAATGGTGTGTGCCAAACGACGACACGTGGTGACGTATCAAATAGACGTGTACCAAAATATTTTCAGACTCGTAAAATCGGTGAAATAATGGAAAGACTGACTTCTCAGATCGTTGCTTGGCTTATAGAATCCTGAATGGGCATAGGTATATTAATCGCATGTGTTGTACAACAAGGTTCCATATTTCGAAAAGCTGGAAGAAAGATGTGTACATATGTTGACAATATGCAATTCAGTTGAATGAGTGAAAAGGATGTCTCTGACGTTCACATGGGCGATATAATTATTTTAACTTGTAAACATCTAACAATTAAAAAACGATTTAAAAAATATTAGAAAACATAATATACGTATATTAATTGTTTGTTATTCTTTTTGATAAGAAAAATATATCCAAAGGTACAATAAAAATTTATTTTCATACTATGTTTTTATATTATGCCTTTTTATTGTATTTTTCTCTTACTTCTTGCTATAGTCTTTTCTTATTATATCTCGATAAGTTTTACATAAAGTATTAAATTCTTAATACTCATTCACCGATACTATTAATTTATTACTTTATGCATAGCCTATTTTTACAACAAATATCGCTTTTACCGCAATTATTTCGTCATGGAAATAAAAATTCGTCGTCGGAAGTAAAAAAACGTCGCGTTCGCACGGAATTCATAAGTGTTTACGATTCGACGGGACGGTGATGTGCTCGGTGAATATTATAGCGGACACGGTTGCTTCGCCAACCCGCCCCCGAGAAGAGAAGTGCCCCTAATATCCGCCCGTGCGCAATACGCCCGCGGGTGTTTCCCATGGTTTTGGCACAGTGAAAGCATTCTTTCAAGAGGACAGGAGTTGCACCAGGTCTGCTTGTGGCCGGCAAACGGAAGAGTCACCATGATTAGCGGAGGACACGACGAAAGGAAGCGCAAGGACCGAGGATGGTTAAAAGCGAGAGGGCGGTAAAAGGAACAAAGCAACAAAAAAAAAAAAGAAAAAAATTCGGAGGTCGAATCTCCCGGAGATCAACGCTGGTAAACGGCCTCCGCCTCAAAACCTGGAGAAAGACTCCTGCGGTGGTCAGTGAGTTCCATAAACTCGCGATTCTCGGCCGCCCGCGGCATCTCCGCACGCAGACATGCAAACGCACACTCGCACCACTTTGCTAGCACTGGTGGGTGGGCAGAGCGGCTATAAGGCATGACGAAAGAGAGACGAATGTAGAGAGCCGTAGAGAGGAGAACCGTAGGGTTCTCAGCGGAGACGGAGAACGAGCGAGGGGACAGGCGCAAGGAGAAAGAGAAAGAACGAGCTAGTGGTACAGAGAAACTGTGAGCTAAACTCTCAGCCTGCTGGCGCCGCTCTGTCGGCCCCCGCTGATTCCCGCCGCCAACAATGCGTGCACTTCTCCTCCTCCTCCTCCTCTTCTTCCTCTTCCTCTTCCCCGTAGCCATCGGCACCACCGACGCCAACGCGCTGTGTCGCCTAACATCTCTCGTGGTGGTTACCAATACCAGTGGACAGCGACATCAGCATGATCAGCGGCGCCAATATTAGATACTAACGGTCGCGTTGAGAATCATTGAGTGATCAAGAATCAATAGGAATCATTTGGAATCGTTAAAACCATTATGTCTTAACATCGTTAGGAATCAAGTATAACAGACAGATCGTACTCTATCAGCCATTCACAATCCATCCAAGTAAACTAGTAGGCAGATACCAATATACTCTTACTGTTATTGTCATAAAACCGCGCCTAGCATCAAAGTGGAGTAACACATATACTACTACCATCACTGACTCGCCAACGCCAACGCCAACGCCGAACGCCAACGCCGTGCCCGTTCTCTCTGTCACGAGATCTTTTCCGGCGTGATCTCCCACCCATCGCTATATTCTCGTATGCCACGTTTCGAGTCGACAAAGCTCACGGGTGAGAGGGAGACTGTGTATTCGCGGCGACGTCAGTCGTTGCTGATAGTGGTGGTAATACAGGCGGTAGTAGTTCAGTAGTACTACTAGTATTGCTGGTGCTGATAGCGATTATGTAGTGGTGGTGGTAATTTGCCGGAGTGGTGGTGGTAGCGCGACGACGTTACTAGTGGCGGTGGTGGTGGTGGCGGCGGCGGTGGTGGTGGTGGTGGAATGGAGCACGAACCAGTCGAGCCTCCCTCGCACACGTAAGAGCATGAAACGGAGTCGAGAGTACACGAGGCGAATCAGTTCACTGTCGACTGCGTTCGGAACAGGACGTGTGTCGACTCACGACGTTGAGTTGTTTGTTGCTTAAACACAGACTCGCGGAAACTTCTTTGAACATCGCATTCGTTCAAACGGAATTTTGGGATTACCAGGATCCAATCCAGTTTTGTTTATTATACACGTGTCGAGATTTGTGGATCTGTACTACGAGGGAAAAGGAAAAAGTGTATTTTGTGCGTGAGGGTGCGTGAATCGAGGAAGGAACCGGTGAAGTGCCGGTGGTCCGTAAGAAGAAAATGACCGATCACGTGGTGGAAAGTACGTTCGAGCTTTCGGCATTCATGAAAGGTGAATTTAGTTTGTAGCGCGCGTTTCGCAGACTTCGAATTGAGGGATGACACGAAAGGGATGACTGAAGCGAATGCGATCACTTTAGATCGCTAAGTATTTCAACTTCAGTTCAATCTAACTTCTCCCACATCTTTAACGTGCTGAAGTTAATATAGACGCAGTTGACGTAACTTACCGAAGTAAAGAATGGAAAATTTGATAATTTAAATAAGTTAATTATTTATCTAAATGTGTAGTAAGTTTTAAAGCTATTTATTCTACATCTGAAGTACATTAACCTACTTCACTCTGAGACAATTCTAATTTTCTCATTTAGTTGTTCTAGATTTCATGCTTTAAAAGCCTTCGCTTTCATACATTCTCGTGTCATCGCTCGAAATATTTTGAGCGCTTCCAATTAGAAAATAAGGCTCCAAATTTCAGAACATCATAATCCCCGCACAATTTGAGTCAGTTTACATTTCTAACCAGCGTGCTCCAGATTGGTTTCGTCGATCAGCCTTAAATCGGTACGTGCCGATTTGACATCTCGATACGCGGTAAAATCTGCTAAAGCAGTATTCTGCCGGAAATAACATCAAAGAAAACTTTAAACGTAAATTATCACGTCAATTGTCCAAATGCGGGCCGATCGATATACTCCCTTTGGTGAGGACCGACAATTGTCGTTATGAACAACGCGAAATGGAGAGATCGTGATTGGATAAATCAGGAACGAAAAGGGAATTACAGGCGATGATCAGAATGGACTTTTATACCCGTATAAAGATTAGATATTCGCTTGTAAATGAACATACATAGAATGGAATGGGAAGTACACAAACGGGAAAATTGCTCTTATTAGTTACGCTCGTTGCACTCTCACGTTTACATTCTATTGCTCCAGAAGCGGGGCAGAACAAATGCGACACTTGAATACTAAATACCTTTGACATTCATCAGAGACATCTTCAACGTTCTGACTCCACACGACTTGAATTCAAACAGACCTAAATCAGAATATAGTTTAATAACGATTCTAATAAAAAAAACTGTTACAAATTCGATGGAAGTCACACATAGCACACGTTTTCATGGTATGATTGTTAAATTGAAATAATTTACGTCAGACGATAATGATATGAAAGTATTTGCTTTTTATTGTCAAAAGTGTCGACTTTGACAAGTGTTGAAGTTCACCGAGGTGTGGACTTACAACTAGAACTAGACTGCTTACGTATAGATGTTGGTGATATCAGATGCCGAATGATAGTCTGGACATTTTTACTAGGCTACGTGGCCGAAGGTATAGCGAGATCTCGATCGAGAGAGAGAGAGAGGGAGAGAGAGAGAGAGAGAGAGAGAGAGAGAAAATAGAAACGCGAGAGTGCGAGGCAGAAGGTTGCGGCGGCGACGGCGACTGTGGCTGCGACGGCGCCAGCGTGGGTCGCCACATATACGCACTGCCGCAGAGATACGATCCCGGGTAACAGACGACCCCCTTTGACCGAGCTTGAAATCGGTGCTGAGCATCTACGCGTAAACAACGATCCTCGCAGCAACGAAATCAGCGCGATGTACTGATTTAACTTAACGCCGGCGGAAGACCGATACCTGATGATTTGATAAAAACGACATAAAACGTCGCATAAAAGCGAAGTTCAGGAGTTTGTTAATCAAATAGTCAGAAATAATTATATATCAAGTTCTGATCAATGAGATGTCTATCTATGACGTTTGATGTCAAACGTCATTATATAGTATCTCGGGAAACGATAAGAAGTATGAAGTCGGTGAAACACCAAGTCGTCGGTGATAACGGTTGGAAGTAAAAACAAAATCCTATATATCCATGAAAAGTTTATCTCTTTAATATCAGAATACGATAATTCGCGTAACAGTTTATATGTAATACTCGAAGGATTTATATTTGATCGTAAAATTTCATTGTCTAATTTTTTAATTTTTTTTTAATTTATTGATAATTGTCGCGTTGCATTATTATATCGAATATTCATGATAAACAATATATTATTTATTATTCCTGCGACATAATATAATATATAGAAATATTATATACAAATTACTAACAATATTATTCGGATTTTTCAGAAGGAGGTTAAAAGCAGGGTAAAGAATTATTATTGTTTCGTGTATTGTTTCTTGTTTTTGCTATTTAACGGACGGATTTTCGATAGAAGAAAGAATGTTCGATCATGCCCTACTTTCCTGAGGTCGAAAAAACATATCAAAAAATCGTGCCGATAAACTATTATACTATCGATCAATGCAATTAATCGCACATATGTTAATGTCAATGCTCGCTTAATTGTCATGTACTCGAATTCAATATTCATCAGCAGTGTTAAATACATATCAATAATGTCACACTTGTGTTCCGTGGGCAATAATTATGTGAGTCGTAAAAAAGTATAAATGAAAGACTACATTGCACGCGTGCCGTACAATGTTTTCTCGCGCAAATCTGTACCCTTGTTGGCATCATCAACGAGATGTAAAGTTAATTGAAATAACTGAAGTGCTGTTAGCATAATGTCTTCGTTGAATAACACGCGATATGTTCGGTCATCGATAAAATCAGTAGTCAACATTTTCCAATGATTTCAGTATACCTGAATGATTAATACAATAATTAATAAGTGATCGGGGTAGAAATGATAAATATATGCCGAGACATTTGCGGAATAAATATATCTAGTTAAACAAACACTCCGGAGGATATTTTATTATTCCGTTTAATTTATTCATATTTTGTTTATTTGAGTTTCATTCATTTTAGTTAGAGCTTCTGTCTCGTTAATTCACATTATTTTATATTAATCTCTCATTTCCGATACTTTAATAATAATTATCAAAATCTGTTATATAGTAGTGGCTTACACTGATTGAGACATCACCGATCGTTTACAACCAACATTTATTACAGACAGTAGCTCCATAAATACCATATTTATTATTTATGATCTCCGAATAATCATCAATCTTATCACCGAGAAGTATCACGGTTTCATTCCGCTATCATAATCGGTCGACACGAAAGCGTGCAGAAAACGAACGTTTTAATTAGATCGTGTCCACCTTTCCTGCGATAACTATAATCGAGATAATACCTATCGCCTGTTGCTACTTAAGTTCTACGCGCTCATTTACATATCTCATCTCCTTCTCTCGGTCGACTACTTTTACTCTTAAACCTGCCGCCGGCAGAAAGTGTCTACGTTGCGCCTGATTTCGACTGCAGCGAGCCGCAGCGAAGAAATGATTTCTGCAAGTTTTACAGGATTAAGAGACAGAAAGAGAGAGAGAGAGAGAGAGAGAAAGGTG